ATCTATCTATACATATATACAATTTTTTTCCCTCCCACTACCCTAATACTGAAAAAGGACTCATGAGTTACAAATATCATCTTTCCCTGCAGGAATGTAAACAGTTCAACCTTAAAATAAGTTTCTTATGATTTCTCTTTCCTGTTTACCTCCTCCATGTTTCACTTGAGTCTTGTATTTGAAAGTCAAATTTTATATTCAGCTCTGGTCTTTTTCTCAGGAATGCCTTAAAGTCCCCTATTTCATTGAATGACCATTTTTTACCCTGAAGGATTATGCTCAGTTTTGCTAGGTTGGAACAAACATTCTAGAAGTCACAGTGGAAGGCCTGGGTGGAGTTAGGATGAAACTTTTGGGTAGGAGGATTGAGTGGGATGAAAATGAGGAATTGGGTGGTAGGGGGAATGGAGTGGAGTTTGGATGATGAGACACAGGAGTGCAAAGTCTCTAGGATGTCAAAGGTATATACTAAATAATCTTGATTCCAGAGGATTGATAATAATGGACTGTGGATATAACATAGTAGAATACACATGCTGACAGACATGATCAATAACTTTTAATTAATCAGTTTCCCTGGTTAAAAGCAAAGGTTCAATGTATATGGGAAATGGCATAGGAAGGAGGGTATTAGGAATCTACTGTGATACACATTGTTTTTTAAAAAGATATCAGTCACATACTAAAAAAGCAAGAAACATAAATCAGAAGTGAGTTGAGTATTTGACACATAAAGACATTAAAGAAAGAAATATTACAAAGTTAAACAATTACAGATAGCAAGACAATACTAAGACATTAAATTAGCATTTACACGGTTCTAAGGCTTCTTCAAAATTCTCACCTTGTTTAAGTTTAATTGATAGATCAAAAAGACCATTTATGGGCTAATTTCAAAGGAGATCTAAGGAAGTGGAGGAGGGAGGGAAAGGACAAGAATTTAACTAGTTCTTGAAGCAGAAACCATGTTTTTTATTACTGAAATAACTGTGTTAAAAGTGGAAATGCACAGAGAAAAATCTATTGGGCACGTACTCGAGGAATGAGGGTTAGAGAGAGGAGTATTCTTTCCAGGCCTAGGAGCCATGTCTTTTCGTTCCTGGGAGCAAAGGGAGAGCTGGGAGCTGAGAAATAAGATTGGGGATCAGGAATCAGCTCTCTTAAGTGGAAAGAGAAAACTGTTTTGACATGGAGGTGGGACTCCACAAGTGATTCTATCACAGGAGAGTGGGTTCATAGCTAACATTTCTATAACGCTTTAAAGGTTTGCAAAGAGCTTTATATTTAGTTCTACAAATATAGATATTTTCCCCATCCTGCTGAATTCATTTTGCACTTATTTGACTGCAGTCATTTTACACTTCTTTCCTTTTTCTTCTCCCCCAATGCAGTCTTCTTTCTCAATCTTTTCAGTTTTTTCTTAAGATCATCAAGACATAACAAAAGCTCTCACCTTGCTGATCAGTCATTTTCAGTGATGTCTGACTCTTTGTGACTCCATTTGGGGTTTTCTTGGCAGAGCTACTGGAGTGGTTTGCCTTTCCAGTTCATGTTATAGATGAGGAAACAGGGTTAAGTGACGGCCCAGGCCACATGGCCACTCAGTGTCTGAAACCAGATTTGAACTCAGGAAGATGAGTCTTCCTGACTCCTGGTCTGGTACTCTATCCATTGTGCCACCTAGCTGGCCTACTTATAGTCTAATTAAACTCCCTCTACTATTCCCAATGATGTCAGGGTTCAGAAGGGACATGTGTATCATCTGGGTGGCATAAAGAATAGAATCTGGGTTTGAAGTCAGGAAAACTTGAATTCTAATCCCATCACAGAAATGTATTACTACCTATGTGACTCTGAGCAAGTAACCTGTTTAGTTTTTTATCACTGTTCATTCATGTTTACATTTTTAAGTTTCTCTTTACTCCTGTGTTTCACATGAGCATATCTGAGGGCAGCAGGGAAGGAGCCAGTAGATCAGGGGAGAATGAAGATAAGAGAAAAATAGTAGGCGCAATTTGCTAAAGAAATTGGTAGGGGATAGCATCAAGGCTGCCTGCAGAGGAGTTTGCCTTGGTAAGGAGAAGAGCTACATCTTCATCCTAGACTGGAGTGAAGAAGACTTTGGAAGAAGATATCTGGGAACAACTAGGTAGCACAGTGGATAGAGCACTGACCCTGGAGTCAGGAGGACCTGAGTTCAAATCTGGCCTCAGACACATGACACTCACTAGTGTGTGACTCTGGGCAAGTCACTTAATCCCAATTGCCTCACCAAAACAAAACAAAACAAAACAAAACTAACAAACAAACAAACCAAAAAAACCAATAGGGGCAACTAGGTGGTGCAGCAGGTAGAGCACCAGTCCTCTAGTCAGGAGGACCTGAGTTCAAATCCGGCCTCAGACACATAACACTCACAGGTTGTGTGACTCCGGGCAAGTCACTTAACCCCAAATGCCTCACCAAAAAACAAACAAACAAAAAAAAAAGAAAAGAAAAGAAAAGAAGATATCTAAATAATGTGAGATGAAGAGGAAGAGAGAAGGGAAAGATTTCAATGAATGGTCTAAATTTTTTTCCATGAAATTCTTAGCTGAGAAGGTGTGAGGAGATAGAATGGGAGGCATGAAAAGAAATGAAGTTTCAAAAAGTCACTCAGTATAATGGGATAGTGAATCAATCACAGATGAACAGAATGTTTACCTTGCTTCAAAGAATGCACAGTCTATATTACACTGTCTATGTTTTATAATGTGTTGGTATGACAGTCCATGTGTATAATTTGTAAATAAACATATTATATTAATTATTATATGCCAATATAATCATATTATCATATAAATACATTATAATTATTAATTAATATGCAACAATTAATTAATACATATTAGGAAAGAATTAATTTTCATGATAGGTCTTTATTTTGGTGACCACAGCTTTAGAGGTCTAACAGTAATTTGTTAAAATAAAATGAATGAGGAAGATAAGTAAATCTGAATAATTTCGATGATGATAATGAAATGATAATTTCGATGATGATAATGAAAATAATATAATAAATGGTAAATTTTGAAATTTTCCCTTTAGTAAGCTGTCATATTTGCTTTTTTCCTTCTTTTTCAAAAGTGTAGGGAGTGAGAGGAAAAGTGACCAATTTCTAAACATCAATAACGGCCATGGTAAGTTCATTTTTACTATATATGTAAAATAGTCTAACGAATAAAACTACTTGTACACACTATAAAACTCTTTAGAAATTAGATAATATTTTTAAAGTGCTTAAAATAGTGCCTGGCTAGGCTATATAATGTAGATGCTATATAAATACTAGCTATTATTATATTGAGGCAGCTGATGGCACAGTGGATAGTGATGAGCCTAGAGTCAGGAAGACCTGAGTTCAACTCTGGCCTCAGACATTTCGAAGCTGTGTGACCCTGGGCAAGTCACTTAATTTCTGCCTGCCTAAAAATGGGGATAATAATAGCTCCTATCATCCAGGATTGTTGTGAGGATCAAATGAGACAATGACTGCAAAGTATTTACACACCATCTGGCATATAGTAAGCACTACATAAATGTTAGCTATTATCATTATTAAAACTTGGCATCAGACATTTATTAGTTGTGTGACCCTGGGCAAGGGTCACTTTGTCTCAATTTCCTCAACTGTAAAATGGAGATAATTATAGTACCTCCCTCACAGAAGTGCTGTAAGCATCAAATGGGATACTATTTATAAATAGCCCTGTGCTATAAGAATCAAATGGGATAATATTTATAAACAGCTCTTAGTATAGTGCCTGGAACACAGTAGGCACTGTATAAACGCTCATTCCCTTACATTTAGAGAGAACTGCAATTTGGAGACTGCAATGCAATTAGGTATGGTTATGAATGGGAGAAGTCAGCACAACATTTTGTGTGTGTGTGTGTGTGTGTGTGTGTGTGTGTGTGTATAAAAAGTTACTGAATAATCTTGTACCAGGTGTACTAAGTAAAATATATAACCATTCGATATTTATTCCACATTTATTCTAGGTAATACATAAAAATGGCAATATAATTAAGGACCACCAAATGCTGGAGCTAGAACAGACAAGGTCATCTTATCCAACTTCCAAACCATTAAACTGAAATGAAAATTTCACCTTCACATTCATAATGGAGGAAAAGAAAACTGGACTTACTCCATATGTAACATGTCTGAGGAACACATATTTAAAAGACTTCAGAAGAAAGAGGGTAAATATATAGATAGAATTCAAGTAAAGCAAAGTAGAGCTAAGTGAAGTGAAGCAAGTAAAATTATACTAGGGAGATAAACTCAGGAATGATGGGAAGCCCTTGATGAAATTCTGAAGGCCTAAAGAAGCAATTCTGATAAGGAAGAAAAGGGTAAATTGCCTAATATGACTGCACAGGAAATTCATTGACAAACTTAGTTTTTTAAGTAAAGCATGTACAGAAGATAAAGCAAGTAAAGAAACTAAATATAAAAGCTTATCAAAGTTCGATAAAAATTATGTTAACTGCTAAAGTTCAGAACGAGCAAAGGCTAGTGACAAATGCTAATTATAACAAAAAGTGTTGTTGTCTTTAAAGCTATAAATACTATGTGAGTACTAGAAAAATCTCAATAAAATCCTGCTGACATCTCTTCAGAGAGTGAAATTCTGTCATTCTTATTCAGAATAAGAAGTGAAAAGAAGCTACACTCCATATCTCTCTTCATAGAATATATGTATATATTTATATATGTGTACATATATATTATATATGTATGTATATATAAAAACAAACATATATAGAACTGTACAGAATAATAAATACAAAGACTTAATGTTGGTAAAACAGACTTTTTTTCTTCCTTCAGAAAGGGGTCACTCTCAACATTTAATGTGAAAGTAAACATTAAGCTATTTTTACAATAATCTTTATCCATTGAAATACCTCAGTTAGTTGCAGTTAGTATAACATATTTTAAAAAATCAGAATACCTGTTCAATTTCTTTGGTCTTTGATGCTATTGCTTTTGAGCGACTGGTTACCTGGTTATCTTCAAACAGTTCAATACTATCTGCGGCATTTGTCTCAGGTTCTTCTGGTTGGTCATTGTATAATGGAGCTGAAGACCCAGCCTTTAAAAAGAATAAAACTGACATTAAATTATTTTTTAAACAATGTAAAGGATAATTTTGATTACATGAAATTAAAAAGGTTTTGCCCAAGCAAAACCAAAGCAGCCAAAATTAAAAGGAAAGCAGGAAAGTGGAAAGAAATTTTTTTTTACAAGTTTCTCTGATAAAGGCTTCACTTATCAAATATGTAGGGAATGAAGGCAAATTTACAAAAATAAGAGCCATTTCCAAACTGACAAATTGGTCAAAGGATATGAGCTACAGTTTTCAGAAGACGAAATCAAAGCTGTCACAAGAAATGTGCTCTAAATCACTACAGATTAGAGAAATGCAAATTAATACAATTCTTAGGTATCACCTCATACCTATCAGATTGGCTATCATGACAGAAAAGGAAAATTAAGAAAACTGAAGAAGATGTGGCAAAATTGGAACACTAATGCATTGCTGGTAGAGTTGTGAACTGATCCAACCATTCTGGAGAGCAATTTGAAACTCTACACAAAGGGCTATAAAACATACCCTTTGACCCACCGATACCGCTTTTAGGTCTGTATCCCAAAGAGATCATACAAACAGAAAAAGGACCCACATGTACAAAAATATTTATAGTAGCTCTTTTTGTGGTGGCAAATGAATTAAAAATTGAAAGGATGCCCATCAACTGGGGAATAGCTGAACAAGCTGTGGCATATGATTGTAATACAGTAATAATGTGACTTGAGAAATAAAGAAGGGTTTGTTTCAGAAAAAGTTGGGAAGACTTATATGAACTTATACAAAGTGAATTGAGCAGAACCAAAAACGATCAACTATGAAAGGCATAGCTACTCTGATCAAAACAGTGATTCAAGTCAAGTCCAAAGGACCTATGCTGATAAATGTTATCTACCTCCGGAGAGAAAACTGATGATCTCTGAGTACAGATTGAAGCACACTCTTTTGACTTTCTTTATTTTTCTTGTATTTGTGTGTGTGGTCTTTTTTTTTTTAAATAACACAGCTAATATGGAAATATGTTTTTCATGACTTCATATGTATAATTGTATTGCTTGCCTTCTCAATAGGTAAGGGACAGGCAGAAGAGAATTTGGAGTTCAAAATTATAAAAGATGAATGTTAAAATTTTTTTTAAAATGTAATTGGGAAATACTTAACAAAATAAAGAAAATGTAATAAGAATAAATAAATTACGTAAAGGATGTTTCATATAGTTGTTTCTAGGATACAACTGGCAAAAGAAATTATATTAAGGAAAAAGATAATTCTTAATCATTTTAGTGTCTTTAATTCTTTTGATTTCACTATGCATGATAAGAATATATAAAGGAAATATGGAAGAAAGGTATCTTTCTTAATAGTGGGTGAGATGAAGCTTCTAGGCTAATTTATTCAACATACTTGATTGTGATCAAACCAGAATATCTGTCATCTCTTCCAGGAATAGTCTTTAAAGAATCTACTGTCTGCAGTGGGATACAGAGGAGTGGTGTAAGAAAAATCAGAAAAGAAATAGGGAATTAAGAATTCACAATTTATTATAAGGGGTAGGTTTTATTTGATTTCTGAATCTGCTCTCTGAATCTTAATTTCTGCTACTTCGGGTTACAGATTTTTTAAAGAACAAAGGAGGAAACCTGAAAAAGGAAGTAGTAACTTTCAAGGTGATATAAATAGCTCATTTCAAACAATCAGCTATGGCTTTATTTTTGATAGCTCATTTTAAGCAATAAACTAGTTTTATTTTTGGTCACAGTATCTAGAAACACACTTAATAGAGAACGGCAAAAATTTTTAAATAATATTTGTGTGGGTAAACTGTTCTAACTTCACATCACTGCCTTGCAAACAGTTCACCAAGAAGTATTACAAATGGAAAATTACATAAATGAAGCTAGCTTAATTTACAATGTATTATATTTTTGACCCAGCATTAGGATGGGAGGAGGGAAAAGAGAGGAAAGAACAAGAGACTAATTAAAATTCTGTGTAATAGTTAACTTTTAGTACTCATTTGCTAGACTATAGTAGACTACGGACTGTGGTGTAACGTGGCACAACAGAAAATGGAGAACGAAAGCTGAAAGAGTGAGGTTATACACAAGTGTGGTGCCACAGAAAACAAGAGGCTTATAAACAGTCGTGAGTACAAGTAAGCTATTCATAGTACTAGGGTTCATAAATGCAATGACATCAGGTGCAGGCTACTTTTGTTTCCAAATTCCATTTTCATCTCAACTGGGCCAGTGTTCAAATCTTGAAGTACTAGGAAGCCACAATACTCTCTTTTTTTCTTATCGCTCACCATTTTCTTTACTTATACAAAACACTGAACAATCACACCCTGGCTGGGGGAAAAAAAGTGGCTTAGGATTTAAACAAGTCCTTCTGTCCTGAAGCAGCAATTTTGAAAGGTTGGGACTAGTTGCTTTAGGCCCCAGAATCTCTAGATTTGGTGCCCTTACAGTTGTTGAATTTGGGAGGCTTGCAGTCAGTAGGCTTAGCAGCCGTGGAATCACTGGGCTTGGGAGCCTTGGAATAACTGGGCTTCATGACCTTGGGGTCAGATTTGGTGACTTTGTCTTCAGACTTGGCTGCCATGGGATTGATCTTGGTGACCCTGGTGTCAGATTTACTGAACTTGATGTCAGAGTTGGTGTCCTTGGGGTCACTGGTTCTGGCAACCTTAGAGTTGAGCTTCATGATGCTGAGGCCTATGGATTTGGTGCTAACCCTAGGGACGAGATGCTTGAGGCCATCTTGAGTATTAGAGCATGCTGGGCTCTGGCCTTGGGGATCTTAGGCCTGAGGAGCTTGGTCTTAGAAGCCTCTGCTCAAGCCTTGATGGCTTTGCTATTGTTGGTCTACATCTTCTTCAGCCCCTTCTTGTTATGTTTCGTGGCAAAGCATATATTTCTCAGAATCTTGGGATCAATCCCTTTCAGAGACTCATATATCTGTGACCTAGGTTTCTTGATGCCATTTCTGTCATTTTCATGACTGCTTATGAGTGGTATGCTTCTTAGACTTAGTCATCTTTATACGAACAGGCACTCCACAGACTGGAAGAGGCCAAGAGCAATAAAGAGAAAGAAGGGAAACCACATATTCTTTTTTTTTTTTTTGGCAAGGCAATGGGGTTAAGTGACTTGTCTAGGGTCACACAGCTAGTAAGTGTTATCTGTCTGAGGACAAATTTGAACTCGGGGCCTCTTGAATCCAGGGCTAGTGCTCTATCCACTGTGCCACCTAGCTGCCCCAAAACCATATATTCTTAAAGAAACTTCTGAAATCATTACATTTCCAGGCCTAATTACTAAAATATGAGATAGGTATTGGACCTATGATTTTACTGAAAAAGAAAACTCTCAGGAAAGGAAGTGAAAAAATTTCCTCTAGCAATGTTGGTTGTCACCCTCTGTGCATTAAAGGTTCAAGTGACTTGTGCACAGGCCATCCTGGCTTCAAGATCAGCTCTCTCTCTCCACTTCTCAATATTGTTTTTCATGGTTGGTAAACTACAGGAAATATTAAATCAAATAGGCCTCAGTTTTAGAAAAATTAAAAGAGAAGAAAAGTATTTAAATTGAAAATTGAAACACAACAGGAAAAAATGGCTTTTTAAAAAAGGTTAATGATTTTTAAAATGTTCACTAAAATAAATCTAAGTTTTTCTCTAGTCACACATCTCTTATTTGAACAGTCCACACATATATCTTTGAACTTTATCAACTCACTGACCCAAGAATCACGGAATTTCAAAGCTGGACAGGACCTCAGTCATCTAATCCAACACAATTTGACTAAGAACTTCCTTTATAATGCACTAAACTGGGGCAGCTAGGTGGTACAGTGGATAGAGCACTAGCCCTGAAGTCAGGAGGACCTGAATTCAAATCAGGCCTCAGACCAAACACTTAACACTTATTAGCTGTGTGACCCTGGACAAGTCACTTAACCCCAACTCCCTAAGAAAACAAATACACAAAAAAAGTAGTTACCCAGTCTCTGCTTTTAAATCTCAAATGAAGAACATGATAAGAAGAATATATTACCTCCAAATGCAGTTCACTTTTGGATAGCTCTAGTTTTTCTTTATATCGCACCTAAATTTGCCTCTTTGCAATTTTCATTCCATTACGCTCAATTCTACCCTCTATGGCAAAATAAAACAAGTGTAATGTCTTTTCCAGGTGAGGCCTTCAAATATTTAAAGACAACTATAATGCCCTCTAAGGTTTTCTCTTCTCCAGGCTAAATCCCTCATACCAGGACCCCAAACCACCTCCTCCTCATTTCTGTTTTACTTGGCTTTCCTTAACAGCCTCAGATTATTCTCGGTTTTATTGATCCTGACATAACTTTTCTGTTACCTGCTATTACTGTACATATCTTTTTAAAATCAAAGTTTGTCAATGTATTCCCTATGAATCCTTACTCATCTCTTTATTCTTCTTCAAGGCTAACTTCTATAGATTTTTGATCTATGGGATGCTACCTATTCTTCCGCTGATCCCTTTTAAATCTACTCTCCCCAAATCTAGGTTGTATGCTAGACAATGTACAAGATTTTTCTGTTCTATCAAAACTTTAAAGATAGAGGTATTAAAGATAGAAGGTAAGTACCCAAGATCTCTAGCAATACATTCCAGGAAACAGTTTGTTCCTATTAGTGAAAATAAGATCCAAAATAGAATGCCACTCCTTTGTTCCTCCGCTCACTGATAACTAAGACAAATCAATAAATTAAGTACTATGTGTTTGGCAGACAGCTCCAGGAGAAGTCTAGAACTACTGAAATACTTCATCACTACTATATCATATATCTAAGCTAGTACTGTGATCAACTCTTCTTTCTGTCTATGTTATCAGTAGGATGCTCAGAAAACAACATACACATGAGTGTGAAGGACTGCCAGGCTAAAGTGAGATTCTCAATAAAAGGTGGATTATGAAGGTTATGTTTACAGAGTGGTGATTAAGGTGACTTACTTTTAGATACAAAAAGGCTAAAAGTCTAAAGAAATGCTAGCAATACTGAGCAGTAGGCCAAACAATCCTCTCATCCCATTCTTTATTAAAACACATTTAGCCTCTTATTTTCAACTGGGAAAAGTAATCATATTCAAAGTCAGATTGAATTAAGCACACCTGCCTGGTGTAGAGTGGGTCTTTTTTGAAAAAGTTCAGTCTATCAGATAATTTTCAATTTTTTAAACCAATATCAATATTATATTCTGAAGGATATATTCCTGTTACTACTGAAATTACAGTAACAACACCACAACTGCATAATTATATAAGCAATGTTATTACTACTACTGATAGCTGAAATGTCATTAATAATTATCTTAAACCTTATTAAAAGAAAAACAAAAACAAAAAACATTTTCCACTAAAACTCCCTGATAAATATATTTGCCCCAAGGCATTTAAGTAATCCTGGGAAACTACCTAGCAATCCCAACCTAGAAGAAACTCATACTAATATTTACATTTTACTACTCCTTTTAAAATCTCAACATGAGTTTTAACCCTATCAATTTTTTTTTCTTCTGTTATGAACTCATGCTCTTTTAATGTATGATCTATCTTGATAGTAAAAGGCAGTGCAGCAAAAGCAAGAAAATGTTAGCTTTAGAGTCAGGATCACAGGAATTCAAGATCTGCCTCTAAAATATTCTAACTTCATGATCACAGGCAATGCATTATCCTAGTGCCCCAAGTAAATGTTAGACTGTACAACGCAGATGGGTTCAATGTTCTGCAATCACAGAGGGAGTTCCTTCACTTGGAGTTATCTACACAGATAAAATCACAGGTCTACATTAAAAGAAAAATCTTTCACCTTATTTTCTAAACACAAAGAGAATGAATACACACACGCACACACACAAAATACTAAAACTAGCCATCTATCTATAAAATATCTAAATATCTAAGAAATAATGAAATGGCAATTCCATTGCTTTTCTTCCAACAAATAATATATATTAAGACAACAAACTATCTCTCAACTATGGAGAAAGTAGACAGAGAAAGGTGGTTCTTACATCATAATCAGAAATTTCTGGTAAGTTATTCTCATCAGTCTTCTCTAATTTTTCTGCAGCCCACTTGTTTGCAGCCTCAGCAAGCTCCTTTTCAGTTAGCCTGCTAGGTTTATCCAAGACCTAATAAAAAAAAATTCTATTAAAATTCAAAAAGACTTTTTAATATTAAAATAAAAATAAAAAGTATACCTCCCTTAAGGCAGAAACAATTTATGAAATGAAATGCTTTTATGTAGTGAAAAGAGCTTGGGTCTTAGACCTGAGAGCTAATTCAAGTTAGTCAAGCCACTTTGCTTCTTCCTGTTTGCTTCCTCATCAGTAAAATGAGTATTGATGATTAAAACTATTTACTTCATATAATTTTTATGAGGAAAACATTTTGTAAACTTGAAAACAATATATAAATAGATTATGATGACAATGAGGATAAATTTCCACATGAGTGTTCTGTACCTAAAAATTAATAGGCATTTAATAAATTACCAAAATTTTAACGAGTAATTCTTTCCTTTAAAAACAGCTACCATAAGACAAAGGGTCTTACCCCAATAGATAAATGGTCAAAAGATATGAATCAGTAGAATTGTTCTAGAATTATCAGAATTCTCAAATGGAAACAGAATATATCCCAAAAGATTAAGAACATGCTTCACTGGCCTGTAAACTCACCTGATTTAAATGCCATTAAAAATCTATGGACAACAACCAAAACAACCTGGAACTGCAAATGGTAAGTTCTTAATTAATTCTGGTTAATTTACATCATTCAATTGATCATTTATTTTTTAATCTAAAGAAGCAAAACAAACCTTTGATGAGGGAGCTGCTGTGGAACTGGAGGGAGAAGTATCTCTTGATGTTTTCAAAGACTGGACAGAAGGTCTCTCTTTACCTTTAAAAAAATTTTTTAAGGGATTAGTGGAAATATACTTTTAAAATGTTACGGTTACTATAAAAAAAAAATTTCATCTTTTTCCACAGCATTTTCTGATTTTTCAAGAAGGAATCTCAAATTCCTTAAGGTAAAAGTAAGGGTTTACACAGTTTATTAAGGTACTCAAATCATGCTGATAATATCAAGGATTGTTGACCTTGCCAAGCACTAGGTATGATTCAAAGGTCTGAAGAAACTAGAAGTACAAGACACATGCCTGTCATTTCCACTAGCTGTTACCCAACAGGCAACCATAAGAGTCAGCAAGGGAGAAACAGCAGAATAAGAGCTGCAGTAGTCATGAGTGCTTCCCACATGTAGGTGAGTCACATATAAAAATGCCTACTTTTAAAATAGGCATTCATAATGCAGCAGCAAAAATACCAAAGGCAATGACTGCAGTGACCACAACTAACTATTAGTTAAGCGTCAGTATTGCTAAAAAAAAAAAAAAAAAAAAAAAAGATAATAGTATAATTTAATAATGGTGCCAAATGTTTACATAATAAAGCAAAATACAAATTAGTAAAACACAACTCAAAACAATTTAATTGTGTTTGTTGAAACCAGTGAGCCTTAACTCTAGTTACTTGAGCACAAAATGTGTAATGTTATTTGAACACTTCAGCAAAACACATTTTAAAATTTCAGCAAAACATTTTAAAAACAATGTAATTATCATAGTAGGTTATATACAACAAAGTGCTTAAATGAATGCAACCTGTAAAATGAATGGTAAACTTGAGTAATTAGTAATGATAAAACCTTCTTAAATTCATACTAAAGTCAAATGAATTAATGCATATTAAGTGCTTTGCAATCTTAAATAAGTCTGTAAATGTCAACTATTATTATAATAATTATATTATGTTTTATAAATAAAGAATAAATCCCTTAGTGCAATTGTATGAGCAAAAATCAGAATGAACCAAAACAACTATTTGGCTAGTGATGAAAAGAAAGGGCTAAATCATGGTGGTTGTGGGCAGTAGTGGATAAGACAAACTCAGACAAAGCCAAGTAAACTAAAAGTCCAAATAACAGATGATTATATTCCTAGAAATTACATGTTAGCTAAAGATGAAGACAGAGAGCAGTATGTCAGAAAAGGGAAAGCAATAGGGCACTGTAAATCATAGAGAAGCTGAAGGCCCAGAATGGCCCACAGGACAAAGCTTGGTAATCATTAGAGTTGGAGATCATTCAGAAGCTGAAAGTCAACATAGGGCAGTACTAAAGTTAGCAGTAAGTAAATAGATAAAATCAGAAACATGAATGATACTGAGGCAAAATCTACTGCAGACAAGAAACTTCTTCTCCTACCACTTCTGACATAGCAGGAATAAGGAAAGAATGACTGACTTGCAAGAACAAACTCAGCCCTGAACCTTAAGTACAAAGGCTACTATGATGTTCTCTGTATAGACAACAATGAGCTCTGTTCTATTCTTAGCAACTCCCGACAATCTCTCTCTACAATATCCAATTTTAATAATCCAATAATTTATAAGAGGCACAAATAAGAGGCACCCAACTACATATGGCACTACCTTAAGCTCTGAATAAAACAAAATGAACAAGCACAGATTTTGCCCTTTAGGAATTTACAATATAAGAGAAATAACAATGTAAGTAGACATAATTGACATACAGGCAATTATGTAATAATGTAAATCCTCATTCCTCCTCCAAACACTCAATTTAAGTTTTATGAAATGATTTTGTATTCTTTTCAGTCAATAAATCTCTTCATAGGGGTTTGGAGTCAGAAAGAGTAGGGGAAAGATATGATAGCAATGAGGGATAAAGTTCAATCCCCAAATGGATCAGTGAAACTAATTTTACATGGAGTAATTGTTCCACAGACTGCTGCACTTTGTTACACCACCAAAGAACTACATTTCTCTGTATAAAGAGGACAGTAGACCTCTTTTGATACAGCAAAATATAAATCCTAATTTTACTCTCAGGTATTATGATGAATCTTTACTCCAGTTAGTTAATTTATTTTATTTTATTTTTTTGTTTTTTTAGGCAATTGGGGTTAAGTGACTTGCCCAGAGTCACACAGCTAGTAAGTGTCAAGTGTTTGGTCTGAGGCTGGATTAGAACTCAGGTCCTCCTGACTTCAGAGCCGGTGCCCTATCCACTGCGCCACCTAGCTGCCCCTTAGTTAATTTATTTAAATAAGTTTAAAGCTTCTATTTTCAACTGCTCTCATATTATGATAAACGTTAATTTGTTCTGCTCCTAATCCATGTAAAGTATAAAATTGTTCCTGAAATAGCCAGTATGACCAATGATTCTTGTTTTTTAGGCATAGTTATATACTATTTTTTTTTTCAAAAAGATTTTCTGCAGTGAATATCCGCGGCAATAAGGTAATCTAATAAAAGACACTGAGCAAAAATTATTCATCTTGGGGGGAGGAAGCTGGAGACAGAATAGAGACAATGGGAAAAGCATACGAGTAGGAAAAATGAGAAAGGATGAAATCCTCTGGCTTAAGTGCTGTTCATTTTTATCTGCTCGCGATTCTTCTAATATAGCTATAATCTTCCCACTTCTCTATCCAAGAACAGGTAGGGAAAAGACTAGAACCATAAAGATTTAAGTGGATCTCTTCCCCAACTTCTAACCTTCACTTCACCCTATCCCTCAACCAATTATACCAACTAGGTGGGCAGACAGGCAGACAGAAAGGCCCTGTGATTTCATTGTTGTAGGAGCTCCTGCTGAGGAAACTGCCTCTAGCCAATAGAAATGGACAAACATACTATAATTTATTATTTTGGAAATCTATTTCAGGTACTGAGAGGTTAAATGACTTAACTAGGGCCACATAGCCAGAATATGTCAGAAGCAGGAACTGAACTCAAGTCATCTTGAATCCAAGTCTTGCTCTCTATCTACTATACCATACTGATATGTGTATGTATGTGCAAATATGCATATATACATGTGTGTGTGTATACTTACATGTGATTGTACATGTATTTTCAAGCTTTAGTTCTGATCTTTCCATTGTGCAGGCAAAAGATAGAATGTACCAAATGCCCTACCCCTTACCCTCCCCACAACAACTAGCATGTCCCTCCCATGCCAATCCCAAATGAGAATTCAGCTTTAACACTTACCTCTTCCTGGCTCTCCTTCATTTTGCTGTTTGTAGCAGGCACCAGCACGCACGGACTCTGGAGAAAGGTGGGCAGGTAGGAGTTAACACCAGCACCTCTCTGTGCTCTCAGAAAAGGCAAATAAGCCCAAGACAAGCAGCAAGGATCAAAGTAACAAGAATTTTACAGCATATATGGTTGCAGGTGACTGCCCTCACGTCCCCCCAAATACTCAACGTTGAACTGATTATATAAGCTATAATCAACCACGGACATGAGGAAATGCTTCAGTCCAAAACCAGCAACAAGCCAGAGTCTACTACAATACAGAATGGTGCATCATGGTGGTGGCACAAATAACTATAGAGGATAACTACTGCCAGGTAAGAAATATATCTTTCCCAAAAGTGAAGACAGAAGGTAATCAATAACGAATATAACAGGGTAAAGCACTTCTTTGAGATCAAGGACTATGTCTCAGTCATATTTGTAAACTTCATAGTACTTGGTATATCTTAACACAGTAGGCTCTCAATAAATGTATAGCGAATGAATGAATGAAAGAGTGAATGGATAAATGAATACTTTCAAGTACTGATACTACATAAATTGTCTTGGGGATATTTCTAGCCACTTATCCTGTTGGTGCCTCACACCTATCTAACATTTGTCTCTAAACTCAGGCCTCTTTCCACATGCTTATTTCTGGTGGTACTTCCAATGCATTGATTATATTCACAACTTATCTAGGCTCAAAACCTTGGAATCATCTGATTCTTTCCTCTTTTTTCACCTTTTCATTCAAATCAATTGATTCTGTCATCTCTACCTTTATAATCTCTCTCAAAGCTGTCCCCTCTTCTCTATTCACATTGCTATATCCAGTTTAAGTACTTATATCACTTCTAGCCTAGACTGCCCTCCCACCAGAAGGCCTTTTCTCTAATTCATCTCCTCTCCAAACTATCCTACACAAAGATGCCCAAATAATCTTCCTGATTCTTGTTGCTCTTGGTTGATTCTTGGTTCATGTTGCTCCCTTGTTGAAAAAAACATTCAATGGTCAATACAATAAATTACTAATTCTTTAGCCAGTTATTTAAGATCATCCACAATCTGACTTCAATATATTTTTCCTACTCTGTTTCATATTACTCCCCTTCACACATTCTAAATTCAATTTGACTCAATTAAAAAAAAAAAAGTACATCACCTGTGTCAGAAACTATGCTGGCCCTGAGAATGAAAATATAAAAGTGAAATGCACCCTGACCTCAAGAAGTCTGCATTCTACTAAAGGGATATGATATTTACAGGTCAGTAAATCAAGAATATATACAAAATAGACTGAGGTTGAGGGGATGGTTCATATTAACAACTGAGGAGATCAGGAGGAGTCTCTTAAAAGAGATTCACTTAATATGGGCCTTGGAGGAAGCTTGGTATTCGAAGAAGTAAAACTGATCTTGTCTGTCTGTAAATCGTTGTTTGAATGTCAGCCCCTCCAATAGATTGTGAACTCTTTGAGGTGGGTCTGTTTTTGCCTTTCTTTGTACACCCAGCACTTAGCACAGTTAGTGACCCCAACAGGCACTTAATAAATGTTTGTTGCCCTCACTTGTTGAAGAGCATGTCCCTTGGTTTCCAGTTGTTTGCCACTGCAAAAAAAGCTGCTACAAAATATGTTTGTATATATATGACCTCTTCCTCTTCTTTTGATTTCTTGGAGGTATAAGCCTAGAAGTGGTATTACTAGGTCAAAGGGTACGCTTAATTTAGTATCTTTTTGTGCACAGTTCCAAACTGCTTTTATGAATGGCTGGACCAATTTACAGCTGCACCAACAACTCATCAGTTAAGTCAACAAGCATTTATTAAGCACAATAAATGCTAAGCTTAACAAAGAAAGGCAACAACAATCCTAATAATCAAAGAGCACACATTCTTTTGCAAACAACTATGTATGTACAAGACATAAACAGGTAATTTCAAAGGAAAGGCATTGAGAGGATCTGGGAAAGGCCTTTTACAGAAGGTGAGGTTTGAGCAGAGAAGAAAGAACACTCTGGGGGTTGGCAGGCAGCCAATGAAAAAGCATGGAGTCAGAAGATGGAGTATCAAATGTGAGCAAGAGCAACATAGCCTGTGTTACATCGATTTGCCTGTGTTCCACAGGCCCTCTATTAATTTGTCATTTTTGATTTTTGTCAGTTTTGCCCACCTGATAGATGAGTTAAAACCTCAGAGTTGCTTTAATACGCATTTCATTTTTCTTTTAATATGGCTATACCTAACTTGGATTTCTTCCCTTGAAACAGAGAGACAGAGAAATAGAAAAATAAGAATGAGGGTGGATGACAGATGAAAGAATAAGAATGAGGTGATAAGATCATATGGGTTGGTTTCCGCAAGAAGAACTACCTTTTACCAACTGCAATGCATTTTCATCTCTATATTCTTTGTTATTTCTGTCCATATTCTCCTAGAGATAATCCATTGAGAATCTATGCAACTGCTAGCTTTTTTTCTATTTCATGGGTAACACTCAAAATATGTGATAATCATTTTGTTGATATAACCTGTACCAGTTCTTTTCCTATTATACATGTGCTCAATAACATTGTCCTTTTCTTGACTTGCAACCTGAACTCCTTTGAGACTCTGTGTGTGATATACTATGACACAGAGCCATAAAACTTCATATGAAGTTTACTGAGATTTAAAAACGAAGATTCTGTTTCAGAAAAATGTTTCAGGTCACTAAAAGTACTGTGCATTTTCCTAAAATTAATTTGGCCCACTCACCTCACAGAGAGTTTAACAGACATATATGGATCAACTTTATGGGTTGTCCATTCAAATATACCATAAATAAACATTTTTCATCTAATTGAGTTTTCCTACATGCACAGAATCATATGATCATAGACTTAGAGCTGGAAAAGAACTTAAAAGGCCATCTAGTCAAACATGTTCGTTTTACAGATGAATAAATTAGGACAGAGACACAACATCAGCGATTGAGCCAAGATTAGAGGTAGTGAAAGGCAGGATTTTACTATCAGGTTCTCTGATTCCAAATTCAGTGCAATTTCCATTGTGTCAAATGGTAATTGGCTGGGATGGTTTCTAGGTTCTTTTGATTTCCTCATAATAAATGATTAACATACATTGATACCCTTAAGAATGGTGACAGTCTGATGAAATTCATTCTTTTATCCATTTCTAATTGTTTAGCATTATCAGTTTATTTTTTAATAAGTCAAAATGGAGTTGTCTCAATTGGTTACCATATTTTCTCATTTTGATCTTTATTTTAAGATATGTATATACACATATATATATCTGTATACAAAGTTGAAAAGACATAAATAGCTGGTTCAAAAAGAACTCACATTGGTAACCAGACACTTTCTGTCTGTTAAAATAAATCTCATTTTTAAATGTTATTAAGATTCCCATATCCAGCGTAATATGACTGTTCCAGAAGACGCAGGCATATTCAAGAAATATATTCATGAAGCTTTCCTATAGTTTACAAACCTTTAGGTTCTTTTGTCCATTATTCTTGAAGCCAGGTTTTCCAGGATATTTTATATTATTGCCAATGATATCAATCTTAGCATTGAAATAATAGATTATTAAAGTATATGCTATCTTCTTTATTTTCTCCTCTGCAACTGATTACAAAATCTGCAACTTACAAAAGGGACATCAGAAGTCAATGAGTCTGACTTCCTCATTTTACAAATGAGAAAAAAAGAGACTGAGAAAGGTTAAGTAACTTGCTCAGGGTCACACATCTAAGAATTCTCTGTGGTAGAATTCAAAGCCCAGTCTATCTGATTCCAAGGACAGCATTCAGCTCTCTATATTGCTATGTTATTCAGCACAGCAGGGTCCAGCAGACACAACAATATCAAGATCAGTTCAAATCAGAGTAAAGACATCAGTTAACTTGTAGCATTGGAGGCATGAGTTTTACCTCTTTACTTGAGGCTTCAGCACACAGTCCTTCCATGTGCATACCTTTCCACATATTTTCCTCACATGCACACCAATCTACTTGTGACCTCTGTGTTCATGCTCAATGCTGTGGGGTACATTTGAGGGAGGATGGTGGAAATGTTTTATAACTATGTTTTTTCACTGTGAAAATTTCAATAACTGCCTATGTTTTGAGTTGATTTTGTCATCTGGCTGATAATTCAAAGATAAACACATCAGTAGGGAATTGTAATCAAGTTTTAAGAATAGAGACCCACAGAATAACTTGAAACTGGAATACGTATTCCCTAGCTAAGAGGCTGACTTCTAAGAAGAAGAGTAGCTTTGACTATAGAATAAAAATTAACTCAGACAATTCCTTTATTTGCCTCTGCAAAGTCTTTTAGTCACAACTTCTTCACAATTCCTGTGGGTCCTATTTTTAAAAAAACTCCTCGCATTCTGAACTTAAAACACCAAAACACACACAAACACACATACAAACAAAAAAGAGTATTTCTGTGCACAAAGCAGAACAAGAAAAAATTCTAAATGAAACCACAAATCTCAATTTTAAAATGCTTGCTTTTGTAAAAATTTAACAATGTTTTAAACAAAATGTTTTTAAACAAATTGTCCATGTTACTTTCAAAATTACCCTGCTTGTCTGCGCTTTCTTCTATTCTTTTCTAGGAATTTTTAAAAATGTTACAATGGATAGCTTTTTTTCCCCTCGGCATCACTTCCGCGAGGCCCCAATCTCCACAAAATAGCACAGACACACTTTAAAAAGAGTGGGGGAAAATGCCAATTGTAACAAATAAGCATCACTAAGCAAAGAAAATTTACATAGTGACCATGTCCAAAAAGGTATGCCTCTGTTTGTGTTCACTACTTCCTTATTAGGAAGTGGATAACATACTTCATTGTAGGTCTTCTCAAGACTCGGTCATTGTATTGACTGATTTCTTGTCTTTTAAAATTGTCACTCTTTAAAATGCTGTTGTCCTTGTGTAAATTATATTCTTGGTTCTTCTCATTTCACTCTGCATCTGTACACATTACCAAGGATTTTCTAAAAGTATCTCTTC